ACCCTTATGATTTGTGCTAAAAAATAGAAGAAATTTTTTTTTATTTCATATTTGCTGTTTTTGGGTGAGGTTTGAAGGGAAATAGTTCCCTGATTCATAAAAGGTATTCCGTTCTTGGATAATTGACATAATAGTTGAAATATTCGCTAAGAAGGGTATCTAAAATTCAGGTTTTGGAAAAATAAAAAATTCCAAACAAAATAAAACCAATTTTTAAAAATTTTTTGTAAGAAAAAGGGTTATAACTCAGGTAATACTCGGAAGATCAAGGAATGAAGTACCTTCCGTAACTCAGAACTCTCTGTAGAATAATATTCCAGCAAAACCTGGAAATACAAATTTTCACTCAAATTTCGAATTTTTTCCAAGGGGGTACCATCTGGATTTTGGCCAAAAATGAAGTTCAATTTTTTCTTGTAGATATCCCAGATCTGGGGATTCAGATTGGAGAGGAAATATATCCTAAATCGGTTGGAAAATCTATAAAATATTCCCTAAAAAGTGATCAACAATCATCATTATTTAAAAAAAATAAAGAAACAACCAAAAGAGCTTCCCACTTGTACATTTTTGAAGTGGAATCATGTCTAGAAATGGGGTGCTGTTACCCCTCGCTTTCCAAGAACCTGAAGCAGGGGTTCTCCCCAATCAAAACCCAATGGATCTTATCTCTCCAAGCTGATCCCTGATTAGTGTTTACCTTCCATAAGCGCCCTGTTTTAATTTTTAAATCCAAGAGTTGGTCAGAAAAGTCGGTTGCCCCGTCGGTTGTGGCAGGTGGCAGACCATAATAATGACAACGGTGCTGGCCCCCCGATTACATACGCAGCTCCATGGTGGAGCATGCATAATTCCAGATAATGGCCCACCAAACACATGCAATCCCGGTATCCGGAGTCCGAAATCTGAAACAGCCACAAAAAGGCCCCACCAATCTTATCATTAAACTGTTGACAAACGAAGGGGGGGTAGTGGGTGGGGGAGGGTGGCTGTTAGGGGGCGTTGGCCACACCCCTCTCTCTCTCTAATGAGCCGCGTGTGTTGGCTTAAATGTTTCAACATTTGTTCTCTGGCTCATTGTTGTCGCAGGCCGTGTGTTTATCTGCAACCATCGCCTCGGCTATATGGTCGGAGTTTGTGACAAAAAGAGTATATCGCTTTAAGCCCCAAAAAAGAGAGAGAGAGAGGGGGGGAGGGGAGAGTAGGGGAAGATGGCCCAAACTGGTTCGTTGCCAAATAGCAGTCATGGCCCGTTGGAGTATCTGTGGTCTTATCTGGAAAGGTGGGCGGTCGGTCATGTTCGGTCTGCTATCGATGATGGATGTGGGCTGGCGATTAGCTAATAGCTCCCCTCCACCCACTCCCCCACCCACTCCCAGGCCAGCCAGGTGTTTTCCCTGCAACTCCAAAAATGGGAAATGAGTTAGAAAATGCGGTCGTGAGACTGGACTGGGGGGGAAAGAAAAACAAAAACAAGACCAGGCTGAATGGAAATCGAGTTTTGGCTTTGTCGAGCAAAGAATTGTGCTTAACTCATAAAGCTTGTTGGCCAGGCCGGGTCAGGATACCAGTTCCCCCATCATCATTGGTAACCAGATGCATGCCAATGGCATGAATCATGAATATTGATCTCCATCGCCATCTCCATCTCCGGGTGTGTGGTGACTCAGAGATGGCTCTTTTGTTGCCAACCAGCAGGTCAGGCCAGGCCAGCTCCCCCTCCTCTCCCCCTCTTTAAACACTACTAAGTATATATATTAATATAAAATCCAGGTAATCCAATGCAATTAATTGAAAAGGGCTCTTGAGGGGAGTGGGGGGAGTGGGGGTGACTTGTCCAACTATTTCAGATATGCGTGCGGGCAGAGCATTCTTTCCTGGACTCCAAATCCCCCCTAATTGTTGAGATTTTTCCTGTCCGGGGGGAGGGGCTTTCGGGAGCGGGCGGATAACTTTCGTTTTGATGTTTTCTTTTGTTAACTAAATCCAAGGGGGAGGAGTGGGGGGAGTGGGGAGAGTGGGGGTGGCACTTGTGTAATTATGTGGTAATTATGTTGTTCAACTCTTTGTGGCAGTTGTTTTCCCTTTGTGCTACACCACCCCACCCCACCCCCTCCACTGATGACAATTGACAGGGCAGTGGGAGGAGGAGGAGGAAGAGGAAGAGGCTTCTCCCAGCTGGGGTTTTAGGAGCCAAGCTCTCTTTTAAATCGAAGTTTAAGTGGTTTCCCGGCATTTGGATATGGTATCTCGGGTGGTTTAGTACCCAACCATGTGGAGTACTTGTAGAAGCTTCCAGGGTATCTGCTGGATCGAGTCATCCTCCTCCACCTCCACCGACGACGACGATTGCGCATCTTCTTAATTAATTTGACATAAATTGCAAAGCGAAATAAAAGGCAGCGGCAGGGGTGGGGTCTATTGTGCATGACGTCAGTGCGTGCCTCATGCCCCATACCCCATGCTGCATGCCCCCACCCCCACTAGTTGCACAAAGTCTGTTGCAAATTTGTTTGCTTGAGCTCTTTGTTTGTGATTGTTCCAGGACTTGGCTCCTGAAAACAGGACGATTGGGCAGAGTAAACTTTTAATTGCATTCACTGGGAAGCCACACCAGCTCCTCCTAATTGGGCAGCCCATTGATCGGAAGGGGGGGGGGGCTCCTATTAGGGCTTGAGGGGGGATTGAATCTATTAGGGCTTCCAGTAATCTAGCATATTAGCGAAGAGAGAGTTTTGATTGGAAATCCAATCCCCCAAAGGATCTTGCCTGCCTCTATCTCATTGCTGGAATTTCTCAGTCTGCGGAGACTCAACCGTAGACTTTCCCTTTCTCTTTCACTTTCTCCTCCATTTCTCCAGCAGACCACCGAGGCGGAAAGGTGGCTTGGGACCCTTGGGTGCTGTCGTCGATAGAGCACGGAATGTGGGCCTGACCCCTGACCTGGCCCAAGAAAATCGAGTTAATGAATCGGAAAGGTAAAGCTAAAGGTTCTCCTAGGGTTAAGAATAGGAACCGGAAGTGGTGGGGAATACCCTTATCCCCCAAGCAAGAAGTTTTTATTTTTTTTTGGAAATTTTTTACTGACTGGCTGACTGGAAGTTCCTTGTGGCAGGAGCCACGCCCACCTTCAGCCCCCCAGGCCGCTTATTATAATTGCTTTGTTTGTTTGCTTCTGCTTTTGCTTTTTCCACTGCTTTTCCACTGCTTTTCCACTGATTTTCCCAGCTCTGCTTTTCGCTTTCTGGGCCGCAATTGAATTTCCATTCATTTTCCAAACACATGCTCCGTTAATGACTTTCGTTTATTTATTTTTAACTTAAAAATTACGTTTAATTATAATTTTTTTTTAATAAATCGGAATGCTAGACTTTCTCCAAGTCTGCTTTTTATGCTTCTTGCGGCATTACGCAAATATTTATGCCCCCTTGGTTGCACCACAGAGCTTGCTTGCCCCACCAGAGTCATGCCTTGGCCAAAATAATTAATGGCTTTGTTGCAAGAGCTCCCCTTTGATGGGGCAACCTTTGATGGGGCATGCCACTACCCACATGGTTGTAAGTTGCGCTCTTTTTTTTTTTTTTAAAGATTTTCTTGAAAAGAAAAGCGAAAAGAGTGATTCTGTATCTCTTCTGGACACTGATGACTTCTCGTCTCGCTGGCCATCTCTGTCTGTGCCCCCATTTGCCGTCTCTTTCGCTTAATTGAGCCTCAATTAAAAATGTCGCGACTCATTAAGCCGGCGTTTAAAGAAAACAAAGTCCAGAGAGACAGAAGCCCAAAGCTCGAGATATCCTCTAGAAGATACTCCTTAGAAGGAGTGGGAGTACAGGATGTGCCCTGTGGAGGAGCCAGTTGGAGGTTGCAACTCCATTCAGCGCCAGCTCTCTCTCTCTCCATCTCTCTCTCTATACTGATCGTATCGTTTGACCTACGACCCTTGGCCCACATGGTCTGTAATTAGATTAAAGAGTTTTCCACTCCAGCTGCATGCTACCCCTCCCTCCCCCCTGACCAAATTAAAATAATTCCAACGAACATAAATGCCAAGTCCTCTCGCGTATAAATCAAATCTTACCACCCCGCCCCGCCCCTTTTACTCCCCCCGACTGCCCCGACTGGCTTCGTAATTAAAAGATGCACAGCAGCAGCACCAGCAGCAGCAGGGCTGGAGAAGCAGCAGGCGGCACTGCCATGGTGGGTTGTGTGCCACATGTGTCTGCCTCCATAGAGCCTCCAAATACCTCGTTAGATTCCAAAGTAAATGCTAGATGATGCAGTGTTTGGGGGTCAATCGTCAGCATCCTACCTCTAAAGGGTAGGTGCCCCGCCCCCCAAACACGTGTGTGGCAGGGCGCACTTCCTGGTTGGACCCGCCCGCCCTTCCTCCTCCTGGTTTTTGTTCTGTTGGCTGGAGAATGGCGGAAGGCATCCACACTCCCGACTACCGACTCCCGACTGGTGGCTACCCTGGAAGAGGTTATGGTTCCAGACCAATCTCCAAAAAAATCTATAATCTTGGGGCCGACAAGCTGACGAGCGGCTGACACTTTGAGGCCGAAGCCGAGGCCCTAATCCCACCGATGGCAGCTCGCGGCTCATCCTCCCAGACTTCTCCTCCTCCTCCTTGTGGCATCTTGCGGAATGTGGAGCTGGAGATGGTACTGGTCCCCAAACCCATTTTCAAGAGGTTCGCGCCCATTTGGGAAACGTGTTTGTCTTGCCATTTGTGGCAAACAGTTTGTTGCCACAGAGATGCTGATGCTTTTTATGTTGCATGCAACTTGCTACTTGCTACTTGCTACTTGCTACTTGCTGATGGCTGAAGTAATTAAAATGCCAAATGTCCATAAATAGAAGCACTAGAAGTGGGAACTAGACTCGAGACTGAAATAGAAGGAGAATCTAAAGAATATAGAACCTGGAAATCCAAGTAGTCGGGTAACTGGAAAGCATTATCATAATTTTAGATCATAGTAGCATTGGAATTCCACTCCGAACTGACAACTGAGACCTCAGAAGCAAAAGTCAGACGACCTCTGCTTCAATAAATCTTAAAACTAAAAACTAAAAACTAAAAAATGGATCGTAAATTGCTGCGAGAACGGGAGGCGTTCAAGAAACGGGCAATGAACATGCCCACCGTGGAGAAAAAGTCCAAGGATGATCGTCGCCCAGATCCGTCGCCCTCGGGCAGTGGTGGTGCCAAGCCAAGGGGAGTACGGGCCCCCAACGCGCCCAAGCTGGACATCAACTCGTACAAGACCATGCCGCGTAGCTCCCAGTACCGCTTCGGAGTGCTGGCCAAGATCGTCAAGTATATGCGGGCCCGCCACCAAGACGGAGACGATCATGCCCTCACCATTGACGAGATTCTGGACGAGACCAATCAACTGGATATCGGGCACTCGGTAAAGAACTGGCTGGCGGGGGAAGCGCTAAAGAACAACCCCAAGATAACGGTCAGTGATGGTGGCCAGAAGTTCAACTTCAAGCCAGTCTACAAGATCAAGGATGGCAGGGCTCTGATGCGGCTGCTGAAGCAACATGACCTGAAGGGCCTCGGTGGAGTTCTACTGGACGATGTCAAGGAATCTCTCCCGAATTGCGAGAAATTCTTAAAAAACAAAGCTGCCGAGATCCATATCGTTACCAGACCGGGAGATAAAAAGAAGATATTGTTCTACAACGACAAGACCGCCACCTTGTCGGTGGATGATGAGTTCAAGAAGCTGTGGCGTGCGGCCACTGTCGAATCCATGGATGATGCTAAAATCGATGACTACCTGACCAAGCAGGGTATCCGCACCATGCAGGATTATGGGGTCAAGAAGGCTGCCTTCAAGCGGAACAAGGTCCCCAGCAACAAGAAGCGCCAGTTCAAGAAGCCCAGAGACAACGAGCATATGGCTGATGTTCTGGAGACATATGAGGACAACGACCTAACCCAGAAAAAGGAGACAACTGTCTAAAAAAATATTAAAAAAATTGTTATAAAGATTAAGAAATATATAGAAGACATATAGAAGACATAAAGAGAGTGTCTGTTTCAGAATCATAATCAGAATCAGAGGCCAGATAGAGTTCACAGTCGATTAGCATAAAGACCTTTGACCCTCTCGGCGATATGATCAGATATCTCTAGGCTCTGGGTCTTCTTAAGGCATTTAAAAGTCATTAGTGGCAGCATAACTGGCTGGGTCACTCTTTATCTATCATGCACTGTCATTAATTGTCGTTTAGTTTAGTTTAGTCCTTAGTTTATAGCTTCCTCCGCCCTCCGCCCTCTTGGGCCCTCCCCTAATTATGTCCATTAGCATGCCGTGCCAGAGCGCAGTTGCAGGCCAGGAGGAGGCTCAGTTTCGGTTCTGATTCCGAGGTCCTGTCGAGGTCCGAGAGCTCAATTGTCTTGGCACGTTCGTCCTCCCTTGCGGAATGCCCGGAACTTCAAACAAATTCGAGCAACTCACGCACCCAACATGCCTCAAGATTTATGTTTTTTTTTTTTTTTTTGGGGGAAACAACTCCTTCCCTGTTGTGGAGGACCAGGCCATACATAAGTTTAAAAATAATTTCCCCTCCTGGCTTAAAACAAAAGAGAGAGCCTTCTACCTTGATTTGTATTTTATGGAATATCTGAGGATGGCTGCAAAGTTAATTACATTCCTTGAAGGGATCTGTGGTATGAAAAATTCATTGCTTCGATTCCCTTCATCGATATTCAAATAAAGGGAGGTGTTTCCCTTTTTTGGCCATTTGCCTGCCTTTTCCAGCCAGTTTTCCGGGGGCAGGAAGGAGGAATCCACTCCCCTGTAGAAGTCCCAGTGCACTTTCCCCTGCAGACACTCGATTTTCTATTCGATTTTATTTTATTTATTTATTTTTGCCACCGAATTCGGGTTCCGGGTCGCGTCTGTTTGTTTGTCTTGTCAGGAGCTGTTGGCTCCTCTAGCTCCACAAACATCAAGTCCTAACAGCTCCTTTATGAATCCCCATCATTGGCATTAACTAACTAATTGCCTTGACTACCAGTCCCCTCCCCTCCACTCCAAACCGACAAGAAAACATTTCCAGAATTCCATGAACTTCTCCAGCATGTCTGGAACATTGTACCCAGATGGTCACTTGCCCCAGCCCCTGATCCAGCCCCTGCCCCAGTCCCTGCCCCTTCCTCCAGTCAGATAACGCGACGACTTCATCGTCTGGCCACTGTTGTTGTTATTGTTTATGTCGCTGGGGACTGGGGACTGGGGACACCCTATATAGTAATAAAGTCACAAAAACAAGAACCCGAATAAGTGCCAGAACATCTCCCCAAATCACACGGAATGGTAGATGCCCCCAGGCAGAGGGGAGGAGCATTATAGTCCACTATTCCTAATCCCTGTAATTCCACTTTAAATTAATTCTCTGGTCTTTTTCTCTTTTCAGGTAAGTTCCTCCAAGTGCCAAGACCTTGCCACAGAATGTTACTAGTTGGTTCGTATTATCTGAATGAAAAAAGACCCAAAAAAAAAGTTGCAAACCCATTTAATTGCCACAGTTGCAACATTCGATTACCCAAACAACTTTTTGCCGCTCCATAAACTTCCATAAACTCGATTTGATTCCCCAGCTTTCGCTCACAACTTTTTCGATTCGTTATTCAATCCTTTTGTGAATTCGTAAACATCCCATAAATATATAAATATATATAGCTATATATATATACAGATATTTAAATTATAGAGATATATTTTTGTTCGATTTTGCTCCACGGCCGCTGCATTCTGGATTCTCTTTTCAGGGCAGAAGCTCTAAGGGGGGAAGATGTAGGCAGGCCTCCCTTTTAATTATTTTATTTATTTATTTATTTGCTTTATTTTTTTCAAAACTTTTTAAATACCCAGGCTATTATTAATACAATTGGGGAGACACGCAGTAGCAACTACCCTTTTTTTTTGGAGGCCCTGAAGGGGTTTCACGAAAAGTATTACTTTTGGAAAAGGGGTTTCTTTGGAAAAATGAACAAAATTCACGGAAATTCTTGCTTTTCTTATTGGATTTTGGGGAGTCAAAGATTTTTAAAATATAGGTACTTGCTAAGCCTATATCTAAGTTAGTATATATTCGATCCTTTAATGGTATAGCTTTTTGGAATTGTGGATCAAATCTTTACAGATCCTCATTAAAATCTAGGAACCTAAATTTTGTTCGATTTTTTTCATAATTTTCTAATGAAAACCTCCTTGAAAATTGGGGAAATCCAGAAATTCGAAAATATAGCCCACTGCAAAGTCTATATCTTGGGAATTATATATCCTTAAAAGTAATACAGTTATGGAATCGTGGATAGATTCTCTATGAAACTGCATTTAAATCTTAGGATGGAAAAATAATATCTTAGGATATTTTTTGGATTTTTTTCGAATTTTTCTGATGGACCCCCTTTGCGAAATGGGAAAATCCAGAAAACCTAAGATGTGGTCCCTTGGGAAGGCTGTATCTTGGGATATATTTCTCCGATCCTAAAAAGGCATACAGTTCTGGAATCGTAGAACGATTTTCTATAAAACTGCATTTAAACCTAGGAAGAAAATTTTTGTTCGATTTTTTTCATAATTTTCTGATGGACCCCCTTGAAAAATGGGGAAAACCAGAAATCTGAAAATATAGCCTTGGAAAGGCCGTATCTTTAAAAATATGTATCCAATCTTTAAACAGGATACCTTTTTAGAATCGTGAATCAATTCTCTACAAATCTGCATTAAAATCTGAAAATCGAAATCTTTTTTCAATTTTTTCGAATTTTTCTGATGGACCCCCTTGAAAAATGGGGGAATCCAGAAAATTGAAAATATGGTCCCTTAGGAAGGCTCTATCTCGGGAGGTATTTATCGGATTCTTAAAAGGGATACAGTTATGGAATCATGGAACGATTCTCTATGAAACTGCATTAAAATCTGAAACTTGAATATTTTTTAAATTTTTTTCGAATTTTTCTGATGGACCCCTTTCGAAAATATGGAAAACCAAAAAAACTGAAAATATGGCCTTTTGGAAAGGATGTATCTCGTCCAATATTTATCCGATTTCTAAACGGAATACCATTTTAGGATCGTGTATAAATATTCTTTAAATCTACATTTCAATCTACAAAGCACATTTTTTTCGATTTTTCTTCAGAATTTTCTGAGAGACCCCCCTAATATAACTTAAAATCTATAAAAACCCAGAAAACTGATAATATAGCAAGGCCTTGGAAAGGTCATATCTTAACTGATATCCAACCGATTTTCAAAAGGAATGTCTTTCTAGAATCGGTGATATATTCTCTATAAATTTCCTTTAAAATCTAAAGATAACCTTTTTTTTTTTTTAAATTTTCTTCCAAATTTTTGTATTTTTCTTCCAAAAAATTAAAAAACATATCCAGAAAATCGAAATATGACCTCTTTTGAAGACTTTATCTTGGTGAATATCTATCCTATGCTGGAGCAAGATATCTTTATGGAACCAGTGATGAATTCTCTATGAATCTATCTTAAGTTCTGGGAGTAAACATTTTTTAATATTTTCTTTAAAATTCTTTTGAAAAATCCTTGAAATCCTTTAGATAATGGGATCTCTCATGTTTAAGGAACCCTGGAAAGGGTGTACAAGCTTGGAGCTCTGTTCTCCCTTCATTTATGCCACTTTATTATAAAAATTCCTCAATTAGGCCTCTGTTCTGCAGTTTTTTCAATAATTTCTGGCCCGTTTTCTCGACTCTACACTGCAGTTGTGGCTCCAAAGGGGTCATAGGGTCGGCACCGTTTTTAGGGTCGGTATGCACACAGTAATCATGGTAATTGTCGTTGGGGCCTCGCTTAAAGTGTACTCGCTTATAGTCGCTTTCATATGAAAAGTAATGTGTATTCGATGGCACTCGAAGGCACTCCATGGTTACCCCTTAACCCCCCCCTCCTCAGCTGGTATTGTTCTTCACTTGAGCTCATCTCCTCATTGCCTCTGTGGGGATTTATATTCGAGATGCCTCGGCCTCAGCCTCGGCCTCCATGGGAATGGTTTTTTATGGAGTTAAAAATGCAAATAAATCGCATTTAAATTTTATGGTTGACACTTTGGGCCCCCTCTCTCTCTCTCTTGCCCTGCTGTCTGGATATACATCTTCTCCAGGCCAGATAATAACTCACCGAAAGTATTCCGGAAAGTCCCAAAAACCGAGTCGTGCCGGACCGGGAAATTATTTCATTTTTTAATAAACCATAATTTATTAATTTTTTTTGTTTGGCTATTTTTAATTAAGTAATTGATAGATTCCAGGCCCAAAATCGATGAAATTTAATTAAATATCTTCTACTTTCCACCATAAACTTTTATGCTGTCAAGTGGTTGGTGGTGGTTGGTGGGGAGGGGAAAGGGTTTGAAGTCACGAGAGGGTCTGGAACGTCAAGATGTCAGCCCCGAGAATTGAGTAGTCTCTCCAGACCCAGGCCCACCCCCAGACAATTCACACGAAAAGGAGCAGTTAGTGGGGGGAGGCGGGCTTTTGTGTTTTTCGTTGCCTACTTACGGGCGTGCTGCCCTCCTACCCATCATCAGATGCCGTGGAATGCCACCCAGTCACGTCCGTGATTCGTGTAATCCAAGGAGTGAATCGGTTTACATGGAATAATTATTAAAAGATTGTGTCCTTTGGATCTCCTTCTCCTCTTCCTCCTTGCGGCATGATGGCTGTAATTGCCACAAAAACGATTGCCACCGATTATCCTGCCAATCGGAGCAACCTCCCGCTATGGCAACTTTGTTTGGCAAACAATGGGCACCCATCACCACCACCCACCACCCACCACTACTACAGCTCCTCTGTCTGGTGGCACCACTAATTATCCGCCACTAATTAGGTGCCCTGACGTGGAGGCGTGTGTCCCTTGCCGTAAACTAATTTTCAAAGTCAATGTCGCGACTCGGTAACCCCTTTTTTCCACCTGGGAAAGGAGGCCTGTGGAGGAGGGGTGAGTG